TCCGCAACCTGTGGACCCGCTTGGTAGCATCCAGCTTAGCCCCAAGTGTTACAAGTATAATGCTCTAAATCGATTGTCTTTTCTTTTTATGCGTTTTTATGGTTTATTTTATCAACAGTAAGGCAAACACTCCAAATTAATGCGAGAAGCTAATACATTTCTCATCTTCTCAATGTTTTTTGATTCTGGTATAAAAATACATGATCTTTGCCAGACCTTGATTAGATGGATATCTGTTTCAATTTTTTTCGATAGCATTATTGACATAAAGATAACTTTCAATGAAAACTGAAATGTTGGCCAATACTTAGCAGTGTAAAGATAAGGAATTATAATCGATTGAAAAGATGGATAAAATTGAACCTTTAGATCAGTAATCAGCAAATAAAATTACACACTAAGATAAAATGTGTCGCATGTGTCGCACTTTGCGACACAATGTACGACACATTAATATGCGACACGAGGAGCTCGTTGCGACACATTTCTTCCAGCGGACGTACGACACATTCTTGTGCGACACATGCGACACATTTTTAACACGTGGTTCGAATCCATTTTTCGGCACGAGGATTATTTTTTTTTGAAAATTCGAATAGTTACTATTTTTTCAGTTAATTCCAAACAGTAGCACCTATTCTTGGAGTTCGAGACGGTAGATCGTAAGATCTAGCTGCCTGGAGACCATTTGATCTCGATCAGACTACTTCGAGGCAGTCCATTCTCGATCATCTAGCGACCTCTCGACATGTTCTCGAATAATAAATGGTCGAGAAATAATCTCGAAAAAAAAGACATACGAAAATGTATAAGTCAAGTATGTCCAATAGGCTCGGTTATATGCAGCGGCACTCGCGAAACAAATCGGTGAATGAACGATTGACATATAGGCTATGACACATCTATAATGCGACACATTTTTGTACGACACATTTTTGTAATGGAGTCTGCGACACATATATACGACACATTTTATTTTAGTGTGTATACTTTGTTTAAAGTTCGGTGAACAAAAGAGAAAATCCGTTGAATGAGAGAAAGCTCCTCTGAGAAAAGTTATCGTAGTCGATTAAAGAAAAACAAAAGTTCTATTGTCTATAGAAAAGTCAATAGTGGAAATTATAAAATTCGTGCAAAAGTCCTGTAAACAAAAGAAAAAATACGTAGAATGAGAGGGAAGTGCTCTTTGAGAGATTATTCAAACTATATTGTACCGAGAAAAGTTCCTATATTGATAGAAAAGTGTCGCGTGAATCTAGTAAGAAGCTCTGAAAGTTCGCTATTTAGAAAGTTAAATCCTCTAAAAGTCAGAATAGTGTAGACTTTTTCATTACCTAATGGGAGACTTTGATGTTCTTTTGGTCGATAAGAAAAGCCCTTCTTTTCGCCAAGGGACATTTGGTAATGTGGACATTTTTCGGAGTTTTGACAGCCCTCAGTAAATCAACATAATTATTAAAGAAAACCGTTAGCACAAAACTCTATTTCTTTCTTTTAGTTATATTATTCGCGCAGTAAAAACAATTACTGAGAAAAAACGAAAAAAACTCTCGAGGATCTATAACACAGATTACATACTAACAAATACAAACACTTCCCGACTGCATAATGATGTTGTGCAACAAAATTTCTCCAAATTCAAATCAAATAGCCGATCACTGGCCAATCGTTAATTACGAAGGTTGTACAATCAAATTGTTACAGACTCTGCTTTACGAAGTAAGTCAAGAGTCGTTCATGCGACGTTTCTGCTGTACTGCAATGCTTTTCATAAAGTGCGGAAAATGCGAAATTTGAGTGAAAGTTTTTTTGCTCCGGGTGTGGTTGTTGATCTGACGAGGGAACGTTCCCAAGTGATTAAAAGCTTTTGAGCTCATGTGTTACCCATTAGGTAGAGGACCACTAGATTAGAGAAACCTCCAAAGGATTCGTGCCCATATTGAGATTTGACAGAGATATCGAATTTTTAGTGGATTTTTCCTGCTGGACCCTAGTTCTACAGCAAAATCATATTTTCGAATTTCGACCTGAAACTTTACCCAAATGGAGGGCTCGATCAGAGTAGCTTGTATATAAAATTTCAGAATTTTTGGACATTGCATCTCCAAGGTATCAATCTTTCAAAGTATCCATATTACCTATAGAAAAGTGCCTATATTTTCAAAAATTGATACCTTGGAAATGCAATGTCCAAAAATTCTGAAATTTTCTATATAAGCTACTCTAATTGAAGCCTTCATTTGGGCAAAGTTTCAGATCGAAATTCGAAAATATGATTTTGCTGTAGAACTAGGGTCCAGCAGGAAAAATCCACTAAAAATTCGATATCTCTGTCAAATCTCAATATGGGCACGAATCCTTTGGAGGTTTCTCTAATCTAGTGGTTCCCTACCTAATGGGCAACATATGAGCTGAAAAGCTTTTAATCACTTGGGAACGTTCCCTCGTGAGTGAGCCAAAGTAATAATTCCAGTTAGGGAGTATTATACGTTTGTACTTCATCTATTGTATGCATCGAAAAATACAAAAGTACAATATTTCGTCCTTGAAAAGCCAAGTTCTCACTCGTACTGATGCACTCAAGTAATTCTTCAAAACTTAGTGAACTGGTGTATTCCATTTAAAATTTATACTAACCTATTGCTAACACGTAGTCATTAATTCATTGGACTGCCATCAACTTGAAGCACAAGTCCTAATGGTACAGGTTAATGCTGATTCGGCATATTCACGGTGGAGAGGTGAAGGTAAATGTAACGAACACACATCCCAAACTCCATTTATGATCGAAATCCAAATGATGAAAAAAATTCTAATGACATACAATATCGATCACAGATGACTGTAGTCGTGGATGTAAAGCTTGTGTAATTCATCACGCCTTTCCCTTACTCCCACATTGTTATCATGAAAGTTTCTTAGACAACAATAATATGAATACTTATTATACGGAAGTGATGAAGTTGATTCATAAAAGGATCAGGCTATTCTCTCTCCCGAAATATTTACCATTAGGTTTACTATGTTTTAGAAAAAGTAGAACTTTAGGATCGAATGGTAATTATTTTCTCTTTTCAGGCTGCCCGAGCAACTGAAGATATTGCACAAAACAAGTGGAAAGAGTTTGACACTCAAGTAAAGGAGAAGCAGTTGTCTAACGAACAAATAAAACTGCTTGTTACCAATTGGGATGAAGAATATCAATGGACACCGCTTCATTATGCTGTCTACTACAATAACACTTTTATATTCGACCAACTAACTGGAAGTGAGAGACGTTTTCAATGTGGTATGCTTTCAATAAAGAACTGAGATACTTAATGCGTGATAACGTTTGCTTTTCCTTTTTAAATAGATATTAATATTAATGGTGGAAATGGTGAAAGTGTTTTGCATGTTGCTGCCCGATCAATAGCCATCTGGGAAAAAGTAAGATTGATTTAATTTATATGTGTTAATGAAATATTCAGTATTAGTACAAGAAAATTCCTATTAAACAATTCTATTTTATCTTTCGAATCGCATTCCAATAATTCATCTTCATGTTTCCAACAGTCTGAGTAATTGGAACATGGAGAGATTTAAGATAATATTCATATACACATATAGTCACACTCAAACTAAAATAATAGTGATTCAAATCAATTAAATGTCTTTTAAAAAATCGGTTTTCATCATTACGACTCTGAAATATATAATTTATCCTGTTTTTTGTTCGAAACTCCCGTTTCTGATCACTTTTCCAAACTCTTTTCCTCAAGAAATTGTAAGTATAATATCATTTAACCTTGGATGTGTATACTGTGCTTCAAAAATTGTTGGAAATCAAATAAACCAATAAAAATATATTTAACAATATGTTAACCGATGCAGTGGATTCATAATCAAATAGGTTAATTAATAACCTAATTCAAACCAATTAATCGTGGAAAGATGCGGGTGTGGATGTAGACCAATCCATGACGTCACATTCACACTTCGTAATAGAAGCCATGAAAAGTTGTTTTTCTCCAGTAAATGAGCAATTTTATATACTTTCTCATTTTGACAAATTTCTGGAATTCATTTCAAACGTGTTCCGTTGTTAATTTACTCTGCTATATTTTGATTATATCCATACTTGTTATTAGAATGTTCTTAGATCGATTTTCTCTGCATTTTAGAAAAAGGAAAAGGCTTCCATCTCGGATGAACCAAAATTAACAATTTTTGATATAGAATCATCTCCTGAAGTTCCGCCAATAGTTCATAAAATGCTTGAACTTGGAGCCGATGTCAATGATATCGATGATGAAAGTCGTACTCCGTTACACATTGCTGCACAATTTAATCGATATGACTATGTACTAGAGTTGGTTGCTCGAGGAGCCAATTTAAGGGTAAATATAAATAAAATTAATAGTGAAATATGAGGAATAGGTTCGGACTCTGTTTGATCGTGTTACCGATGTTTTAAATATCGATTTAGATTTTATTGCAAAGAATTTTTCAAAACAACTTTCGACACAACAAATATGATTAAGAAGTACATTTAAAACTACCTCATTAAAAATTCTTTCTTAGTTGATCATGAAGAACCACAATAGTTGCTTTACATTCAAATCCGTTTTTAAAATAAAACTCGAGAAAATGAGAAACATATATTTTGACTGTAACGATTTTTAGTGGTAAGAGGATTGAGATGTGTGTTGGAGGAATTTATTTTAAACCGTTACGTTATAATATGTTACCAACACTGTAAAAAATCACACGTCTACAGGGTGTAAAATAACCTTTGCGCCACCTATATAACCTAAAGTATCAATGATATCACAAATGTACATTTATACCAAATTAAAGCGCCTCAAAAACTGGATTTATTGGTACTAAAAAGTAAAGGTTATGAAGGCCTTTTAATGTTGACCTTAAGAAATTTTCAAAAATTTTATGCTTGTTTGGCGTAGAAAATTAAGTTGTCAGTAATTCAAAAATGGAGTAAAACTTTTTTCTTGGAAATTTTGAATGGTTCGATAGGGCTCGACGAGCTCTACAAAGCTGTAGATATTAAAAAAATTTTCAGCCATCTTTTTGAGATAAAAAATTCAAAAAACTACTTGGAAAATCGGAAAAAATGTTAAAAAAAACTCATTTTTTTATGTGAAAGAAAAACACTCGATTTTTCAATAAAATTAGCTTTTCTCATTTTTTTGCTACCTCAGTCGTTTCGAAATATACTTAATGGATGCAGTTTTTCACACGGCATCGAATGATTATATTTCGAAACGACTGAGGTAGCAAAAAAATGAGAAAAGCTAATTTTATTGAAAAATCGAGTGTTTTTCTTTCACATAAAAAAATGAGTTTTCCTTAAAACTTTTTTTCCGATTTTCCAAGTAGTTTTTTGAATTTTTTATCTCAAAAAGATGGCTGAAATTTTTTTTAATATCTACAGCTTTGTAGAGCTCGTCGAGCTCTATCGAACCATTCAAAATTTCCAAGAAAAAAGTTTTACTCCATTTTTGAATTACTGACAACTTAATTTTCTACGCCAAACAAGCATAAAATTTCTGAAAATTTCTTAATTTAAAATACGTTTGTGATATCATTGATACTTTAGGTTATATAGGTGGGCGCAAAGGTTATTTTATACCCTGTATATATGTAGCTACAAGGACAGACAGAACGAAAAAAAAGAGAGGAATGAGCTTGAGAGGATAGGTGAACGAGAGGAAAGAGATTCACTTACAAGAACAGACGGAATAATGGAATAAAATTGAACACTACACTAAACATAATGTAAACAGACATACAACGACGAGAGAGAATGAAGGTTTCGAAGTGGAATGGCTTTGAAGCTTAGTATGTGAACACTACAGAAACAGAATGAGAACAGAAAGAGTCCTCTCTACTCACTATGGTTACAGCTCTATAGGAGCTGTTACACTGACTTTTGTTTCTTATTATGAAAACTACAGTTCGAAACTATTGGGTATGAGTTCGGATATATTCGGACACTACAACCACACCTGCGCCCATTCTCCATAAGGGAAAAGATGAAGAACTTACATAACGGTATACCGATGTTTTCTACAAAATAACCAGAATATTTCATAGAAAAGTGGATCTTCAAATTTCTTTGGTACTTAAAGATAGCTTGTCTTTTTCTCTTTCTATTGATATGGGTTCGATTCTTCTAGAACATTGTGTAGCAGAAAATAACTCAGTTTAACACATCATCAGAAATATTGTGTCCAGTATTGTAGGGTTTTATATAATAAATATTTAAATACTCTTTTCTCTCTGTGTGAAACTGGTGCCCGCTGCAATATGTAAGAAAAATCAAATTCACGACTGTGAAAAGGATTCTTCGATACGTTCAATTTTATCTTTTCGGCTTTCTCTTGGATTTGCTCTGAAAAAATAACATGCTGTGCAATGTGAGAATTTCTAACTTTACCATACTGAATAAAAAGAGAATATTCATTCTCATAAATTTTGCAATAGTTACAAGCGAAACTGGATACTTTTCAAAGGGTTTCTATCTGAATTATAAATTGACCTTTTAAATTCTCTGTAAAGGTGAAATGACTGTCTTTTAGTAGCTATTAATCATTTCTTATTCTGGATCTATCCAATATTTATATTCAGTTAAAGATCATTTCTACTTACCTTTTTTCTTTCTGTGAGTTTTTTCAACACAACACTCCTTCATATGTAGATGAATTAGGGATCTGTATGGTTATGGTGTGTGTTTATAGCAGAGATCCAAACAGGCCACGAGGCCTGCCTGCTTGTGACAGGCACAGGCCACTATTTTAAGGCCTGCGCCTGTCACAGGCAGGCCAGGCCGACCCCTAAGACAGGCCAGGCAGGCCGCTTGAAAATGACAGACCACTTGGCCTGTCTACTTTTCCCTCGAAATCGAAGTTTTAATATGAAAATTCCATGATTTTGTTAGCAAATAGATACAACCTTCATTAGCTTTCAAAAAATCACACTTAAGCGCTGTGAATCAGACAAATACTGCGGAATGAGTATTAAAAATACTTATAGGAAATCAATGCCTTTACCATTCTGAAGAGAAGATGAGCACAAATTTTCATAGTTATCATTATATACTTGCCACATTTCTCAATTTTAGTTATATTAATTGATTCTAAATCCTTTTTTCTGTTGAAGATTTACCACTGATTAAATTCTATTTCTCTCTTGATCTCAATACTTTGGGTGACATTGTGATCTGCCGCAAGAAGTTCAATGAAAATATTTTTGAACAAAAACCAGATATCTTCCACACGTTGAGTATCTTAGCATTATTTTTATTTTGTCTACGTATCACCAATGTTCAGTTCGTAAACTCTTAATCAGTAATGAAACTTTTCAACGTATGTGGGTACCTGTGAAATTGTCTATACCCACAGACATCATCAACTCTGAAAAAGGACAGAGTTCGAAATTGATATTATTTACACATTCCTACGGCGTCGCGCGTTTTTTAATTCAGCTGAGGGATAGCTTTTCTTTTAGATACAGACAGCCATAATTACTTCCACTTTTACTTATACAAGGCCTTAAAAAAAATAAAAATCGCATGGTCCAGAAGACATCAATAGCTTTTTATGCGAAATTTTACTATTTATATCATGTTAATAATTTTCATCTAAGTTCATGTTGAAAGATGTATACCGTAAAATTCTCTTCAAACATTTTGTATAATGTTTTATTACAAAGTATGAGAAGAGAAAGCTACACGAAAAATATTGAAGATCTTCGATGCTATCAGCTTTCTAAAGCACGGTGTAGCATTCCTTAACTTTTTGCTAAGCGGTAACAAAAGTATAAGCATATATGAAATTAAATTTTCTAATGCTATGACGAATGTAGATCTAGTCTTTATAAAAGGAGTGATGCAAAAAGTTGATTCTAGGTGCAGTAACATCATACATTTTTAATAAATTAGGAATCGATAATGAATTGATTTTGATTTGTTTTTATTGTAATCGATTCGCTACCAATTGACAATCGATAAAAGAATAATGATTTTAGTCATTTAAAATGAATCTTTTCTGACTCTTACATGAATTATTTTTTACATGAAAGTGTGTCCGCAGTTTTTACAGGTAGGCATTGTAGCTGTCTCTTTAATGAAGTTACTTGCTTATTCAGAACGATGCCAATTTTCGCCGAGCGATTTTGACTAGAAATCGATCGTTCATTAAAAGAAACGTTTTTTTAAGTGAACTGAAAACTATTTTTTTTATGCTCCGGCTGACTAGAATTACCTTTGAAAATGAACAGTCTTTGTTCTACCCTTAGTTTTACATGCTCTCAATTACAAAGAAGTATGATACCTTTGTTTAATTGGAAAGCTGACAATTCTCATGGACTTTTCAATTAGAAACTTTTCAATGTAGTGATGTGGATTGAATTCAGTGACTAATAAGACTTTTTATGAAGATTACTACTTCTTCCTATGGTATTTATATCATGATATTGGCGTGAAAAAAATACACAGGCCTAGACAGGCAGGCCTGAGAAAATGACAGGCAGGCAGGCCAGGTCGAGGAAATCAGAGAACAGGCACAGGCAGGCCAGGGCTTCAAAAAGTGGGCCGATTTGGACCTCTGGTTCATAGCTATTGATACAAATGGGTTTCCTTGGCACTGGTCTCTTATTGAATTCATTGTTGGGAAAATTGATAGTTTCTTGTATCGTGAAATCGTTTTCTTCCTACTGATATGAATCGATTTAGAAACAGTGAGGTTGTCGAATTACATTTCAATCAGTTTTTTGTTTTTTAAAGGCGTACACAGGATTGCATGCAAATATTTTACATTTTACATTATTTCGTGGTGTACAAAAACTTGAGCAAGATTTGGTCAAAATGGTCGAATTAATTCTGAAAATTGAACAAAAACAATGGAACGAAGGGGATGGACGGTATGAAGACGAAAAACTTGTAAAACAAGCAACGACAGACGGTTATCCGCCACTTGCTTTCGCTTTGGTTCATCCGCATGTGTCCGAAAAACTCGTAGAGTTACTCATTGATGTTAAAGACATACAGTTACCATTTGTTCTCAATATGATAGCACGAGAATCACATTTATGGGAATCAAAGACAAACGAAAAAACATTGAAGTGTTTGCAGCTATTTTTTACCCTTTTAACAAAATGTAACGAAAGATTCCCACAGCAATTGTTTCAAATTATTTGCCGCCATAATAATGAATTTCTCCTAAGATTGCTGGAAGATTTTATGGTTAGTCTTCAGGTAACTTATGCTGCACATTTGTTTCATAAACAGCACATATTCCAACTGGTGGTGGGTGTGTATGTAAGATGTGGATTCGGTGACCGAAAGAACGGTCACATTCACACCCTCTTCAAAAAGCTTTTAGCGCAATTCCTGTGGGATTAAAATGTGAAACACGGCAGACCCATTTTTGCTAAACTCGTTACAACTCGTCTTTTCTCTATGTACTGGTGCATATTTCGTGATCATTATTTACTTTACAGGTTAGCAGTTGAACAAGAAAATACTTCATCTATATTTCAATTAAATGCTGGTTATATAGCACCTTTGATAGCCCCTTGCGGTCGTGTGTCACAATTTGTGATGGCTATGGGTTCTGTCTGTAACGGTCTGTGATGGTATCTGGAGTTCTCTCTCACGGTCTGTGATGGTTTTTGGAGTTCTCGGTCGCGGTCTGTAATGGTCTTTGGGGGCGGGGTCATTGAGATTCTGTCACGGTCTGTGGAGTGGGGGGGGGGGGCGTGGGCGCAGAATTTCTACCCTAAACACTTCAACACTCCATTCATGTCGTGTTTCACAAAAAAAAAATCCAAGCACCTACTTGTATGTAGAAGACAGCAGTTGCAGAATTCTTCCCAAGACGAATTCAGAATTTTGGGAACTTACACATTTTATTCAGTCTATGATTATTATGCACGCGATTCTACTTAAAAGATTAGAATTCTATGCTCTCGAAAACAACATATTTCTGTTTGCACTGGTGCATTTGTATTCTTCTTAGAATTTCTTAGAATTCTGTGCTATCAAACATAGGATACACCAACGAGCTTCGCGTATCGTTTTAATACAAATGTAGTTTCTGCACTTGCTTGAAAATACACCTAATTGCTGTTTCATTTTAAACAGTCTGACAAGACTATATTATCACTCTACATTTATTGACTTGTTGTAGGCATCAGACCCTACATATAAAGAATTGGAAAAATGTATCAATAAAGCTGACTATGCAGGATATACTCCTTTACTCACTGCTGTTTTTTACAACGCGAACGAATGTGTGGAATTGTTGATGAAGGTAAGTAATTGTTTTAAATTCTTTAATTGTGCTGTATATTTCGCTTCATTAACAATACTCATCGGGAATCTAAAAAGTTGATATTTAAAAATTTCATAGTAAAGAAAACTATCGTCGATTTTATTGAAAGTATCATTAAACTAACTTATGACATTCAATTATGTATGCATCTGGTTATATCAATATCTAACGAGAAACTTGATCTTTTAATTAAACCACATCACGATACAGGAGTCATTGTATCCAAACTACACAGAATATTTCTATTACAACTCGATAAAACAACCTGGGTTTATAAACAATAGCAGATGTTTGCCCAAGCTTTGTATTTAGAAAGTTGTATCTCGAGGGAGACTCATTATAGAGTAATTTTATCACTGGTCATCTCAACAAAGAAAAAGTGTACTCATCCCCAATCACTACAAATATAACGTTGAAGGACGACCTGAAGTTCGTTAAAAGCTTCCAAGTCGGTTTTATTGCTAATAGTAGGAAGTAATAGGAATTTAAGTCTCCAAACCATTTTCTCTTCTGTTGAATTTTTACATCCTAAAACTGAGTACACGTCAAAATGACAGCTAGTTAGAGTCCAATATGAATAGTGCATCGGCGTTATCTTGGAAATTTTCGATCTCAGCAATATTGGACACTAAATTTTTCAAACTTTGCTCACGTACTAATCTAGCTAAGATTTTAATCTGTGAAAACTTTTAGGACTCTTGAAAAAAGCACAGTCCGTGCGAAGAATATTTACTAAAAATTCAATATCTGATTAATAATTCTGCAGAAGAGATCGTTTGGAGGACGCTTTTGCGATCTTTCTTTTGTATTATAATTATAGTGATTACAAAATGGCTACCTTTCTTGTGACGATTATTAGTGAAACTACACACAAAGTCTCTCTATACAGGTCTAGCTGGATATAAAGCTTGAACATGTCTTTATCATTGATAAAAATTCAGCTCGTTTGGTTGAATCGTGATCGAAGTGTTAAGTTTTTCCTGGATGAATGGACTTTTCCACCACACTGTATTTCAGATTTGACACCAGCGACATATTTTATTTTCAATTACAGCTAATTGTTATTCGCTAGTAAAATTTCCGAGATTTTTTTTCTGTGGACAAAAATTAAAATCTAAACTTTATACTATATTTCAAATCATGTATTCATAAAATTAGGAATTGTTGTGTTTACAGCCAAGTCAAATATTGCATTCAGTATGACCTTTCTGAATCGCTTTCATTTTAGCGCAAGGATTTACGCTTAAATTTAATAGCTCGAACCAACGATGGCGAAAATATATTGCATATTTGTATCAAACGGAATGTTCAGCAAGGTCTTTTCGATACCATCTGGAATAAATTGATTGACGAAGACAAACGTGATTTGGTATTTGCGACGGATGTGGAAAACAATACACCATTACTTGCGGCAGCTCGTGTTAATAATGAATATGTATACAAAGAATTATGGAAGTATGCTGAACAAATTCGAAAACAACCTACTGATGAACTTAAAAATGAGTTCGACCAAAAATTTGTTTCTTTGTGCAAGAGAACAGTATATCATGAGATATGCAAAGCAGGAAATATCAAGCTTTTAGAATACATGTGGCCTGGACCATCTTTGGACAAACAACCGCCATCGATTTCAAGAGAGAAAAAAGCAGAATTGCTTACGCAGGATGAAAAAGGATATACTTGTTTTCATTGGGCCGTTGCCAATGGTAAATAATATTTTGTATTTTTTCTGACTTATGAGGAGAGGAGGAGTATTTGAATATTTTGTGTCATTTTCCTGTCTTAATTGAAGCGTAGATTTCTTTAAGTCCAATACAGATGACTGTTTTTCGAGCGCGATTTGTTCTTTTGAATGATAGATGCACAGAATATGTTTCATATGATAATCAATATGTGATCCTAAATTTTCTGAATTTCATTCGATTTTATTCGAAAAACAACTTTACTTAAACATTTTATATTGAATGTTACATTTTCCTAGCATGAATTAGTACACAATTATATGAAATAATCTTCAACTTTACCATAAAAAGGCTTTCGATGTTCTTTTTTGTTCTATGGATTCTGGGCAATCTTAGTACATATGCATTCTATAAAAAATAGCAAATAATTTTTTTTCGATCTATGTAATATAATGTGAAAATTTATAAACGAATTTAAAAAACTAATCGACTCAGACCAGTAGACTTGATTTGGCTAGTCACAGACATACATCATTAGATGTAAATGATTGTATTAAACTTTATTCTTAAATAGTTAGGATGTCTTATTAGAGTTGATATCGGCGTAAATTGATATTGGCCTTTGCGCTTGTGAATTAAAAGAAAGAACAACAGGCTTTACGACTGCAAAAGACGTCAAGATACGTCAAGTTTTCCATAAATTTCAGAAGGCTTTAAGATTTATCGAAAATCGATAACTGAATTCTCTGCTGTTTTGCCTATGTTCAAAATTGAAGAGCTCCTTTATTTTTGGCACAAATAAACAATAATAGTAAAGAAAACGTATCTGATTTTGGAACGAAAGTTATAATGAAAGTAGACCGAATTTTGGTAGTCAAAAAATGATCTTTAAACTAATCTGTTTTCAAACGTTTAGTTTCTATTTTGTGATAACTTATTTCTTCAGATCTGAAACGTCTAAGACAATAAAAAACAACATCTATCGCGATTTGGCAGGCATTCTTTATAGCAAGATGCGACTTCATTAGAGAAAAAAATTCAATTATGCTTTTAAACGTCAAATGAGTTTAGAATTTTCCCGTAGTTAGATTGACAAAACAATAAAAGTTCGCCTTTCTGCTAATACATGTGTACCAAGGCTCAGAAACTTATATTGAATTCAACATGCACTTAATATGTCTCAAAAAATATCAGACGACTTCGTGCAATTTTAGCAGGCAAATGATGCAAGACTTTAGAAGTGTATTCTAGTTCGAATGTAGTTCAGTTTGGCGAACTATGCATTTCAAAATTCGTTTCAACTCACGTAATTATCACAATGATATCTAACCGTTGAGCAGTTATTCGAAGGAGAAACGAATGTTTTACTGAAGTTCGACATGTGATTTCTTGTAAAATCGCATTTATTCGAACCGCGTCTCTTTCAAAATTCTAAATGGTTACAAAATCGGTGACCCTTTTTATTGCGAATAGTGCGCATATTTTATCATATGAATACTTTTTAAGGTCACACAATAATAGTCAAGTATCTGATTGACACTATGAAAATGGAGATCGATACACTTGGTGATCGTCGGCGTACACCTTTGCATGTAGCTTGTGAGAAAGGACATATTAAATTAGTCAGATTTCTTCTCGAAAATGGTGCATCAACCACAATACGAGATGCTCGATGCTACAATTGTTTGGAAATTGCCATTACTGGACAACACGAAGACATCGTTAAGATACTTTTCGACCATCCGGCATGGCGAGAAATGATGCGAAATGCTCAACCTATTGAGCAATCTGAAGGCTTTGATACACCTATGCGAAAACTTATTCGATATTTGCCTAATGTAGCTGTTTGGGTCATAGACAATAAATTTACTACTACAATCGGCGGGCCTGGACAAAAAATACACAAAACTAATTATGATTACGAATTTTATGAAGATATGCAGAAAGTTCATAAATGGTATCTTAAGGGTAAATATCATATTAAGATTGTATATTTTATTTTTGTTTCCGAAAAATACGAAACTTTTCATCATAAAGTAGAAAAATCTCGTAAAAGAATCATAAAAATCTATAGAAAAGTCTTTAACAAACATAACAGAGATCTTTCCGGATTAATTATTTTTACTGATTAACATTATAATTCGTCGCGTCATATATGTATTACTGAGAATCAATGATCACTAGCAGATACTCATTATACGTCTAATATGTAGTATCGTTTCTATTTTCTTGCATGATTTGATTAAAACCTTGAGATTAAAAAACAGTTTTAATTTTTGGGAGAACACCAAAATCACAAAGACACCAATAAAAAAAATACTGAAAGGAAATATACTGTAATGAAAGTGATGGTATACACGAATACTATCTTTGAAAAAATTTATTTTCAACGCTTTTGTTTTACTTTTTTGTCGAAAAAGTCTATTAAAACTTTGACGTTCTATTAAACTTGTAAAGTGTTCTGAAGCAATACGACTAGCTTTTCATCTAAACTGTGTAGAATGAGACACGCACATTTTTCTTGAATTCTACAGCTATTATAAACCTAGTATAACTCTAAATATTTGTTCTTAGTACCGTTGATAATTACAACGCTACGTTAAATAACGCTTTTTGTATTTCGAAGCGTTGTTTTTAGGTTTTTCACATTGCATTTTTTCTTGGTTACAACAAGGTTTCATAACATATGGTCTGATGTGCACCAGAGCTGCCAGCCTGGCCTGCAAGCGCCTGGTCGCCAGCCAGGTCAGGCTACAGGATCACGCTGATTTTTCGTATTTTAGCCTGGCCTGCATCAGGCCAGGCAAATAGCGACCAGGCCACCAGACCAGACCAAGCGGTCTGGCCTGCTCAAAATCGACTTGGAATGATTTTATCTGCTCAATTCTATACTAGATGTCGCTATCAAAGATGCTAACAGTCCACATTTATAAACTGTCTAATAGTGATTGTTTCTTGCGTGAAGTGTTAGTGGTGTTAATTCGGACAGTTTTTTTATTTTCTAATATATACCGGGTGAATCACAATGATTGCTACAGTTAGTATTTTGTGAATATCTCAGCACAGATAAATCATAGAGTCCTAATTCTTTTTTCAAATGCCCATGTAAAAATGTATGCAAAATTTAACGATTTAACGAAATTTAATGTTACCTTTCTGTCCTTGAAAACGCGTTAAAATAATATTAACGTAGAGAAACGAGTGAAAATTCGTTAAATTCATATTTTAACGCGTTTTCAAGGACAGAAAGGTAACATTAAATTTCGTTAAATCGTTAAATTTTGAATACATTTTTACATGGGTGATGCATCATGAGATTCTCTACAAACCTGTTTTTCTTAGTTTAGAACAATAGAACTGAACGTTTTTGTAGATCACATAGTATGATTATGTGAAATGACTATGTCCCACACATTTTATTCCGTTTTTTCAACGTTTTTTCGACGCTAAAAACAGACACCTAAGAAACTCATATTGTAATTGGAGCACATTTGGAATGCTCTTTCAGAATTATTTGTAAGTATTTGATTGCATCTAATTTTTTCTAAAAACTACGATTTATCTGAGCTGCCACAACGAAAACGGCCTTCTTGACGCTATTCGAATTCATCCTTCAATTGAATTGCTGTTCACCCATTATTTGGACTTCACATTGGAAGAAAAATTAATTTCCTATAAAATACTGCCAAAATGAAAACGGTTTGATGATAGGTGGCATTTCTAGAATGCTGTCTCTGAAAAAGAGAAATCAGACATGAAAATCGTGCTATTTTCAAAATATGATCATACGTCTAACCGAAAGAATAAGCATAAAAAACTGTATATGTAAGCAATCGGTAGAGGATTTTAAGAGCTGTCTAGCAGTATATAATATTTTAAGAATTGAATATTCGCTTACACTAAAAGAATTAATTACTAAAAACTGTGTGGAACATAGAGTGATTTCACATAATCATACTATGCGATCTACAGAAAGTTCAATTCTATTGTTCTAAACTAAGACAAATAAAGGTTTGTAGAGAATTGCACGGTGCATCTATTGAAAAAAGCTGTTAGCGTAATCCGTCGGGATTAAAATGTGAAGCACGATATACCTATTGTTACTAATTCCCTAAAAACTGCTCTTTTTTACGTATACTGGGGATATTCCATCACCATTGCTAAATTTACAGAGTAGAACTTCATAAAGGAAATACTCCAATTAGATATTAGTTATACATAACATTTGATAGTCTTTTGAAGACGGCTATCAGCCGCTGTGACGATCCATGAAGGGTGTCTGTCATGGCCTGTGATGATCTCCCGAACCCATCTGTCACGGTCTGTGATGGTCTCTGGAGCCTGTCTATCACGATCTGTAATGGGTCCGAGACCTGTCTGTGACGGTGTGTGATGGTTAATTAGCTGATTAAATACTAATTAATTAATTAATTAATTAAGATGTCCGTCACGGTCTGTGGGGGCGGGAGGGGCTGCAAATTTCTACCCCGAAACACTTCAACACTCCTTTCAGATCGTGTTTCGCAAAAGAATTAGGACTCTATGATTTACTTGTGCTGAGATATTCACAGAATACTAACTGTAGCAATCATTATGACTCACCAGCTAGAACAACTTTTTGTATTATTGCTATTAAGAAAAGAAATAAACAACCATATTAATCTTCAACATCATAACTAATTATTGAACCTAATGGATATATGTTATTTAAAAAAAGGATGAATTTCTTTTTGGTTTTATGTATGCCTGCAGGCTAGGCCAGGCTTCAACATATCAGGCCAGGTACCAGGTCAGACCCAGCTCGATCGTAGCAGGTCAGGCACCAGGCCGGGCCAGGCCCAAAAAATGGCCTGTTGGCAGCTCTGACGTGCACTTTACTAATTATAGAATAGCTGTGAAGTAATTTTAAAAAGAAATATGTTAATTGCATCCATTCGATGAGACAATGTGGAAATCAATCACAAATAGCATGTAGCTTCTTTACTTAATAAAAAAATATACTCAGCATAAGTCATCCAAAACATGATAGTTTTGAGAAGACGAATTATTTTGTCTTTAAAAATATCCTTTTTTTCGTTTTAATAGTTACTATCTGCTCTTCTTTGCGCATACGTTCATTTATCAACTATTAATTTAACAGTGTAATTATAGTAAACGTTAAGTTTATTTAATTCCTGTTGCTGAGATCTATGATAGGATCGGAGACATTTCTAGTGACGAAATAGGTTCGAAATACTTCTTCTACTTAAAGCTAACACTATATTTACGAACGAAAATATATGGGAGTTCGATAGAATGAGCAAATTGGCAATTTTTTCAAATTATTTTAAAGACGATAACGAATATATAAATTCTATGGATCCAAGCTCTATGATAAATTCAGTGTTTTTTGTAAAATAATGTCTTGGTTTTTTGAGATCGTATCTGTTGCCTATCTCTTTATGAAGCACCTTCCTACACTGAAAAAAATAGTATTGTATAGAACCATTTTTGAAACGGAATCGAAATCTTCAACAAGGTTTCGTAAAAACGCAAAATTGTCTCAAAATGATTATCAAGAGCCCAGAAAACTTTTTCAGAGGCTTTATGAAAAATCTGCGAAACCAAAAAAAGGTTCAGAATTCGTTTCAAAGTTCGAAACCTTTTTTTGAAGTATCTTACAACGTTTGAAATCATTTTTAAGTTCCGTATTTGAATCCGAAGCCTTTTTTGCGTTTCGCAGTGAGGATGAAACCTTTTTGGTTGCGCATGGTGCAGTGTTTTTCAGTGTATGAGTTTTGCTACACTGCTGAAACATAAGCAATAGAAGGGATATTATTACGAAAAATTAAACGTGAATATACTTGTAGATTTTCTTTTCACCAACATTCACACTGAAGCGATGTGAATGTGGAGATTGGTTTCAGATATGGTAATTACCCCCATTCTTGCTAAAGAATTTCAGTAACTAATCACTGGAATTCTTCATCAATCACCATTTCTGAATGAAAATAATAGTAATTATTCTTCGATAACTTGAACGATCTAACTACTCACATCATAAATGTGTGTGATTCTGAAGCCTTATATTATATTTTATCTTATTGAGTTGGATTCTTGGATAAATAAGAAATCAACTATAATATTTTGGAGATCAGAGAAAATCCTTCCGAAAATATCGATTTAGTTACAAATCTTAAGAGGCGATTTCCACCAACTGTCTCAAGATCGCCCATCGTAGAGAGACCTATTTTATGTTTACAGTTACAATCATTATTTTCAGAAAATTATACAGAGCTTGAGTATCCATATCTCGTTTCTGAGATCTGCACCGAAACCCACTTACATCCAACAAATAAATATTAATCTAGACTCTCATTTCAAAGGTGGCTTCAAGAGCATTTCTCTCATTTAGGTTTCGAACAACAAGAAAAAATAACATGTAAAACCCTTTGTGAAAAGCGTGGTGTTGCAGCTATCTTCGGTTGTTGGTGTTGTTGCAGAAAAGATAGTAGTAATTCAAGTTGTCAACGCTGCACACAATCTTCTGATATACGAAAATACTATACCAATGATGCATACACACTTGTTCGTAATCATCCTTTATGTATTGTGAATCTGCAGAAAACATGTGTGGAACTCACTGAACATGCGTATAATAAATTCTTACGTAAAGCCAAGCTTAATTCATTTGGTTACAAATTATATATTTTGTCTTTTGTTACCTACTTGACTTATCTTGCTTTACTAACGGCCTTAATACTAAAAGGAAAACATCCACAATATTTCTACAACAGAGTTAATGTGAATATCACAGTCGATTTAGCTACATGTGAAAATGTAAGTAATTTCTATCTCAATAATTTCAATCGAACACATGAAGCTTTTAAAACGGATGAATACATCATAATCCGGGTGGCACTATATATAGTGATGTCAACTTTCATTTTGAAGAACATTATTGTAATAGCAACTTTATTTCCAAAAGTATTTCGTACTGTCTCATCTTATATCGAGATATCGGCACTTGTTCTTACCTATGTTTATGTTCTCGATTGGTATCCTTGGCAAAACAGCATTCTATTTCGATGTCCAATTCAATATCAATTAGGTGCACTGGGCACTCTGATTGCATACATCAATGCACTTGCCTATTTTCGAACGCTTCCAACCGTAGGTTTGGGAGTTTATGTGGTCATGTTACAATTGATTACATTTAAATTCATTCATTTTCTTCCTGTTTTAATTTTTGTCATTTGTGGCTTTGGTTTCACATATTGGATGTTATTACAGTATCAAAATGTTTATGGAACACCTATCGAAGCATTATTACGTACTAGTTTGATGCTCTTCGATTTAGGATACGAGGATCGCTTGTATAAAGCCAACGAAGGTGGCATTGGATACTATAAATTAGTGTATGTCATATTCATACTTACAGCGATTACATTCTCTATTTTCGTTATCAATTTATTAATCGGTAAGATATATCAGTAGGACTTGAAATCAAAAATGTAATATTTTAGT